GAGTATTTAGGAGCTGAAGTGATAATGATGGTAAAATTTTGGGCCCTGTGTATAATAACCGACATTTGAAAATAAATATGTAAGTGTGCGTGTATTACATCCTGCCTAGAGATATAGTCAGATATGTTATTGTAATGCACTAGACATTTTCGTTTTGACAGATACCCAGGAATATATTGTGAGAAACTGTAATGACATATAAAATTGATCATTTAGCATGGCTTAATAGAAGTACATAAGAACTAAAAAGCAGAACCTGGATAAAGAAAAAAAAACACGAAGTATCACGGTCTTTCTTACTAGAACCTGGAAGTCTCTCACTAATATAATAGAAATGTCTGTAATATAATTTGTATTGCATTGTTGTGTTACATTCCTTATTTGTCCATCTATACTTCTTGTGGTTGTCAACACAAGCATTCTCATCTGCTTTCCCTTTTTTCTTCTTTTTTTTTTAAATCTAATAATTTGCTGTAACATTTCTTTAGAAAAATCTATGACCATCAGAATAAATCCTGAAAGCAAAAGATAGTCATTGTAACCGTATAATTTGCTGGCCTCCCTTTCCTCACGCCTACTCAGGCCAGCTTCTAAAGCTTTAACTCCATTTTTTGTTGTATTCATTTGGATGAACCTTCATCAACTGTTTGTATTGCCTGAGAAAGAAGTGGACTAAAATGAAGTGAGAGGTTCAAGATGTGACCTCTCTACCTTAAAGTATGTCTGTTCTTATTCCCGTTTGCATCTGCCCATGCAGCCACTTACATTTTAAGTGGGCCTTCCCACCACCAGACCCATCTTGTCATGACACTGCACAAGGATGACTCAAGCAGCACACAGGAGCTTCATGTGACCATGTTGTCACTTGGGATTAATTTTTTCCTCTATGTTTCTTCTCAAACATTCCCAGGGGCTGTAGATTATAAGCTTATTGCTCCCTCTAGAGATCTTTAGTGCTGTTCTGAGGGACCACTTAAATAATCTCTCATCATGCTAGACAGCTCACTGCTCGTTTTGCTTTCAGCCTCTGCCAGATGGGATACAGACTGAACACAGGCTTCAAGTTCCTGGGTTGCGGTGTAGAGCATGGGCACAACACCTCCAGACAGGTGTTGGGTCTTGGAGGCTGATCTTCACCTTTTATTGGTCCAGGGACATTATTGCTGAGCAGACACTGGCAGACAATATTTTGTTTCATGCTTTCTCTTCAGTTCTCGGAGATTTGTACAACATCAGGGGACCTCATAAGCAATCCTGTAAAGTCATGAGCCTGGGACAACTGGTTTAATCCATCTGAATTCAGCTGTGGAATCAGCAGTGACTCTTGAGGGCACTTTTGATAGCACTGTCTGTAGTAAACCCACCAACAGAGCCTGTGGGTATTTTTCTAAAGTCAGTATTTTGGCCAGAAATGCTACTGTTTCCATTATTTTTTCTAGAAGAGTTCTGACATTAATGCTCTTGCAAAAATAAACATTGCCAAGCAATTTTTCCTACACTAGCTGTGAGGGAAGACTTGATGGAAGCAGTGAGTCTTGCGCTTTGCCCTTACTCATATGAGGGTATGCTTGATGTCGGCGGGAAGGGTTTCCAAAGGCAGAGCCCTGTCCTGCATCTAGAGAATTTATTCTTTATACTCATGAGATGCTATCTGCCTAATATTAGGAACTGCCAGGGACAGTTACAGAGTGAGAAACACTCTCTGAAGTGACTTTTGCACCCTAGCGATGCACAGCTTGACATTGACGTCACCTATCAGCCTTCCACCATCAGCAAAGACTCCCATGATGATGCAATAGCAATTGACTTCAGTGCACGGAGGCATGCATCATAGACTCAGGCTAACGTGTATGGTTTTCTGCACATTGATGGGACTGTTTAATTCAGAGGGTCACAGATTTTGATGGTAGCTAATGGAGGGCTATGTGCTGGCTTGAACTCCAGGGCGTTGTAAAATTATCATCATGACTATTGGAGGCACCCAACCCAGGATAGTGTTCCAGAAGGCCTCCTTGGGGTGTTTGGTTTCTCTTTACAGTCACTAGAGAGGTCAGTCCATCACTTAGGCTGTCTGACTCAGTTTTGGTGGCACCCACCATTTTCTGAGTTGAGCAGAGACACTAACAGCTCGGTGCAGGTCTTCTACTGATGGTTAGGAAGGCCACTTAGGCAGCAGAAACCATGGCATCTAATACAGGCTCCGGTTTTAGGGAATGTGAATACAGCCTCCACTGAATAATCTGGTATTATTTCCACCAGTTCAGTCTGCTGCACGTTGCATATGTATGTGTGTGTATGTGTATGAGCTTGGGTGTAAGTCTATTATGCAAGTGTATGTTGAAAATAAAAATCTGTATCATAACACATAAAAGCAAGGAAGAGATGTTTACAGTCCTGCTGTCATCCCAAAACAGGTATATCCATAAAACACACCTTTGTCAAACAGACACATAAATGATGAATAACTTAGAAGGTATGAATAAAAGTGATAAAACTACTTAATAAGATAAATGTAAATGAAACAGAATAACAAGAAAAAAAACATATCCAGAATTATTGGTAAGCAGCAATGAGTATTGGTAAGCAGCAATGAGTGACGTGCAGTTTTATGGTTATATAGTCCTGTGGTTAACCAGCATGTGGTTAATGAGTAGCCTTCTGTCAACAAGAAGTAAGTTTAAGTATCTTCCTGCTTTTGCGAACTTGTGTCACAACTTTATGCGGGCTCTGAGATCTAGTGTGTTTTGCAGAAAATCTTGATAGTAGCTTCACCTTCCTCTTCTTTATTCTGGCCTTGTAGACTAGTAATGTGGCCACATTTTACTATATTTCAGTATTATTATATTTTTTTTCTGTGTTTCTTTTCTATTTGGAAAATCCACAAGAGCTTTCTAAAGAAATAAATTAACTGCATAGTCTACCAGTACAGAAGAAGCACCTTACCTAATGCATCAGCAGTTGTCAAAAAAAACCCCAAGTGTTAAGTGAGATGTAAATATTGCAGATTAATAAAGAGAATAAAGTAAATATTCAGAGGGTTTTTTTCAGTCTCAATGATCTACATTTTGCATATAAGGATACAGAGAAACTATATTTGGAAAGAAGGTAGGCCTACAGGTGTCTCTGATATTTGTTAAGTCTAATGCTAAGGATGCTAAAGTTTTTTGGAAGGAAATTTATTGAACTTTGTTATTGAAGCCTCACAGAAAGATCCATTGTGCTGGCAGAGAAAAAGTAACAAAGCTGTAAAGCTTCGTCGTGTAATTTAGTATTTAAAGAATGTCAAGAACACAGCCATCCTTGGTCTGGGTAGATGTAGGACCGAAGAGTTGAGGGCCAAAAGCCCTGAGACACAGAGATCTGAAATGACTTTTGCTCCCGTGGCAATTCAGGGGCTGATTTCTAGCAAGGATGTGGAGGTGGGAAGACACCAGCCTGTGATTTGCGAGGCTTGTGTTTCAGCTTCTGTTTTGTCAGGGCTGTGATTCAGGATTATGGTCAGATTTAGTTGCAGCAGCCAAAGGAGTTAGCATCACTGGCCACAGGCTTCCTGTGAGATCATGGACAAGACACTTTAGCTCCCCACAGTTCCTCAGCTGTAGACTGGGGAGAATACCTCCCTAATTCAAAGGGATGTGATGGGGACAGCTTCCAGTAACAGCTATGAGAGTATGCTCACCGTGATGTGAATGCAGACCATTAGCACCAAAGTAGGAACTGCATTAAGAAGAATTGAATTGCAAGCGAACGTGCATAGGGAGGGGGGTGGATATTGCCACTAGAGGCAAACATTATATTTAAATTTGTTTTTATTTATATAGATAAATGAAGCAAATGATGAAAACGGGAAGTCTTAGGAGGGAAGAAATTCAGTGCTAAGAAGGGCTCGAGCCAAGTAGGAAAGTGAAGCAGGCAGATCTGTTTGGGAAAGCTTACACAGTGTGTGCCCACAGGAGGAGAACCTCAATGCTCTTACAACGGCTTCTGGTTATCTAACTTGAGGTGATGTCCTTTGATGTCTCTTACTGATAGCAAAGATTTCTGCCAGTACCTGAGTCCTCTGTGATGCTGAGATAACTATGCTAAACCTGCTGACAGGCAATGTTTTTACTGTTGTCCAGGACAAAGCCATAATGAATGCTTATATGAAGTCTTATAAAAAATGCAGAATGGTACTTTAATTAATTGAAAAATGCCTTCAGTAAATGCTGGCATTGGCCAAAAGCATGGGTAGCAGGATTTGGGCATACAAAATCCTCCCCAGCAGCCATCAAAATGAGTTCTTGTCCCAACTTAGAGCCATCTCATGCACATAACAATTCTGAAAAGGCCTTCACAGTTTTCTTACTGAATAATAGAGAAACTAAGCATAATGCTCTTCTGTGTCTTTATAAAATGTTTTAATTCTCTGTGGACAAGCTGTAGGGATTTTTTTTTCCATTCCCTCGTTTCTTGACATTGCAGTAGCAGATTATTTTTAAAGCGTTCTGGTTTGCAATATGGAATTGATCTAATGCTAGCTTCAACCACAAAGCATGGAATTTTACGATCTGCCCAGGGGATCTGAGCACCCAGTTCTCTTTAATTTTAACAAGCGCTGTTGATCAGAGTCCCATGGCAGTTTTGGAAGAGTCAGACACAATTTCTGAGTCTCTCTGAATTAACACTCTTTAGAAAGTACAGATAACGTATCAGCAGCCATGTAGATCAGATAAACTCCAACTGTTAGGGGTAACCTCCTTTTTTTACAAACAAATTGTAGATCATTTAAATATAAATTAATATTTTTTCCAAAAGCTTTGAGCAGTTGCCACAGAGGGAATCCATCCAGCACCAGGCAGTTGTGAGGTTATACACTGCTCTCTCTGGGCACATATCTATCTTCAGATAGAGGCAGCTGAAGTGTTTCAGTGTTGTTTGCTGTGTTCGAGTGCTAACTGAAATGAGGAGTGCACTTTTTCTCAACAGATACGCTCAGTAATGTTTTTTTCCTGTTGCAGGGAAAAGCTTCACACTGACTATCACGGTCTTCACAAATCCACCGCAAGTAGCCACATATCACAGAGCCATCAAGATAACAGTGGACGGACCTCGCGAACCCAGAAGTAAGTGAGATAATGACAGCATTTACAGCAGGCCAAGCTGACTGGTTGACAAGTTGAGTAGTTTGGGAGTTCATCTCCAGCCTCATGAAATGCAGCAATATCCAGTGCCTGTCTAGCAGTGGGTATATTTAAAGCCAAGGCTGTCCCACAAATGGTTTTAATTATGCCTTCCCAAAGCCTTATTTTTTCACGGGTGTCCAGCTGATCTAGAATATGACTTGAATTGTATTTCTGAAGTATCTACCCATGAGTGTCTTGGATCCTACCCAAAATCTGACAGGAGGGATGCTGGTAAAAAGTGGGCAGCATATACCTTATGCATCATTTCTTGCTAGTCTTGCCTTTCAGCTGTTAAGAGGATTTTAAAGCATTGGAAACCAATATGGCATTGATCTCACTTTTCAAGCTCAGCCACCCTGCAAAAATAAGTAAATGCCTGAGAGAGGATACTTGGTTGCTGCATTGTGGAGTTCACCATGCCTCAAGCTGTCGTATAGCTTAAGGGCACCCATTTTCACAGACAGCCAATCTTTCCTTCCCCCCTCCCCCCCTTTCTTTTATTAAGAATTATGTACAAGAAGGAGATAAATGGTTTGATATCTCCAGGGGAATACCTTCACCTTTCACACAGGCAGTTGTTTTGTTCAGGTTTCGAGGGCAGGCTGTTTTGTCTGCAGGGTGAAGCGAAGTGAGGGTGAAGCAGATTTGCAGGTAGAGATGCTTCTGCAGGACATGCACCACCTGTTACCAGAAGCAATTGTTTAACCTCTGTCACTAGCCCGAACAGCACATTTTTGTTTTTTTATCAAAATGCCCTGATGTCAGTAGAGATCTGTGGTTAGTCTCTTGTTTTCCTGCACACTTGGCAGAAGTTCTGGCTGTTGCTTAAGTGGAATCATCCTGAGAGAAGAGAGCAGCTGGATTAAAACAGCCACAATAAAACCAGCCACTAGAGAATGAGAGTGGCAGGTGAGGGTCGCTTAACTCGTGGGGAGGAGAGAAAAGAAAGGTTTGAAACTTCAACTAAAATAGCTTAGAGAATTCATGTCTTGCCTATGCATTTTCTTCTCGAGCCTTCATTTGTCTGAGTTGCATCATGATGATGCATGCATTTAATGGAAAAATGTGACCTATATTTTTTGGGTGTGAGGCCAGACTTTAAAAAAAACCACTGATGTTGGGGTAAGGCTTCTTACTTAGCTTGGGTTTTTTGGTGTGTGAGGTTTTTTGTTGTTTTTTAAATTATGGTTGAATTGTTCCTGAAAAAATATCCCTAATAAATCAGGCACCTGTGTACATAAAAACGATATTTGTATATGCAAGTTACAGATTTACATATGCAATTACCTGGACATATTGATAGTTTGCAGCAACAAATAAGAATCAGTTTTTTGAATATGAGTCTGTTAGATCGGCAAGAAGCAATATCATCCTGCACTCAAACCTACTGTTTTAAATCAATTCTTCAGCTGGTATAATAGTTAATATTTAATAAGATTCTACATTTTAAAAAGGAAGTAGAGAATAATACAGACTGAAGCAACATGTGTATCTTCCCAACTTGAATGTATGTAAAAGCTTCCTTGTAAATAATTTCACTTTGTTGTAAGCAAATCAGCTGCATAGTGGAGGAGACTTTATGCATGTCGGGGGAAGAGGTCAGACTTTACCCCTCAGTAGCAATGTACAGGTCCTTTTATTGCCAAGTTATTCGTGATGCAATGTAGAAGGGATTATGCTCCACTCATTTTTCAGCAGGCTGCAAAGTCCTTCGGTTTGACTTTCGCCAAGGGTTTGTGAATCACAGCAGTGGTTGTGATCAGTCTGGTATCTCCTCTTCATACATTGGACTGAGGTATAGATTGTCCTGAAGAGATACACCACAGTCTGTGAAGGAAAAAAGAAGGGGTAGCCTATGCATTCTTCATTCTGGGACAGTTCTGGCAGGTTTCGGCTGTACGTTTACTCTCCTACGCTCTCTCTCTTGGTGGATGTATCCCACTTTGGTTCAAGTGGATCAATTACACATGTAGCCTGTACAAAAACTGATTGCAGGGCTATTACCTGTGCAAACTCACCTACAAGATTTGTGGTTAAAGGTATCAAAACATGTGTGCTGATGGGATTTAAAATGATACTGACCTTCTTTCATTGAGGCTGGAATCAAAGTAAAAACTGCTAGCTTAGACTGTTTCTAGTTTCAGTAATCGATTCTTGGGAACGTTCGTGCTTACAGATCCATGACTCACTCACTTGTTTGAGCTAAAGGAATTACAGAAGTTCTGAGATGTATTTTCTAAGATGCCTGGTTCAAAAGAAATCTGTGAAAGACAGTAATGGGAACAAAATTAGATACTGCTCTCTTACAGAGACCTAGAAGAAAACATGTTGAAGCCTAAACCCAAGAGTGTTTGATTAATTTACTTGACATTTATAACAGTTCTCAGACAATCTGAGTTCTAGAGTGCCTGCATTCTCTGTGAAAAATGCTGGAAGGTAAAGGGCTGTTTATGAAGATGGAGGCCATCAGAGACAAAACTCAGAACTTCACACCAGGATGATTTTTAGTCAACTTTACAGAACATAGAAATATCTATTTTTAAACATCTTTAAGATTGATCAACTTTAGAGACAACAGAAAATTTTTGTTTTGTCTTTGGACAACGTCAAATCAACAGCAATTTCTGAGCCCTGATTAGATGGATTCTTTAAGTGGGGTTTTTTAGTGGAAAAGGACAGCCTCTTCAACAAGCCATGCTTGGGGAAGAAAACTTCAAAAAGTAAGACAGAATAGGACTTGAACTCATTTCTGGAAAACAGAAAAATGCTGAAACTGAAGGCAGCAAATGCAAATAGGCAAAGCACAGACTTTTTGGCACACTGGGATGCACTTCGATATCGCAATAGGTGATAATGACATAGTGTGTATTATCACACGTGCCACCTTCGCTCTGCACAAAGGTCTGTAGACTTTGGATTCGTGCATGTCTCACTGTACATTTGGTCACAGTTTCTGTGATGGCCAGGTCTTTGCCTAGCAGCACATTTGCCTGTGTAACTACTAGATTTGCATTTACAATTGTGATAATTACTTGTGCACAGGACTTATACCATTGTCCTTCTTTTGCCATTGAATTTCTGGTTGTGCCTACCCATTCAATATTTCTCATCAAATTGTCATGACTTGTAAAGACAGCCAAGGTACTGCTTTCATTATGCATTTTTAAAATCTCTTTTGAACTTAGCATTTTCATTCTCCAGCTCTGTATAAATGCTTATTTTCATATTTTTTTTAATAAAAAGAAATAATACTGCACTGTCAGGGAGAAGGGCGAGATGACCTAACCCATCATTTTCTTCTCCAACTTCTATGATTCTATGATTCATAAAGCAATTTATGTTTTTATGAGCTAAGTCCATGGGGAAAATCATTAGCAGTAACCAGATCAAGAGTAGTGCTCCTGATGAAAATACTTTTGGTTAGGAAACTTGGTAGAAATAGTATGACTCTTAAATTAAATATTTCCCTTAGGCCATTTGACCTACTGTGTACGTCTGCTGAAAAATTAGGTTTTTCTTCTTTTTACTACTTCTTTCTGTTTTTCTCATTGGTTTGTTTTAACCTATATAGCTCTGAAAAAATCACTAAAGGACCAAGTGACTGAAAATGGTGCAAAATGAAAAGGCTGCATGGATTTAGCTTCCATGGGCCTGAGATATCCAAGGTTAAGCTGGGCATTAAATGTGATTATCCCGTATTAGATATGTGGTTTTCCCAAATACTTTTATGACATTCTTATATCATGTAGCAGGATCCTGAGGAGCAGGGAGAGATGAGAATAATATTGCTTAGCAGGATTTGAGAAGGAGCTTAAAAAGCTATTGGCCAAAGAAGTGCCTTTTTAGGACTGGAAATTTTGTTTTGCCTTCTGGGCAAATCTAGCGAGGGCAGGGAGGGCAGGTGTACATTTGGCCAACCACAGTTAAGGACATCTTTAAACTCTGATCTAAAGTGATTTCACTCCTAAGACTCAATGAAAGCTGGTGGCCTGTAGCTGTTCTGAAGAAAATCTTCAAACACCCCTTTTGCGAGCCTGAGGTCTTTTTAGGGAATCCCCAAAAGCCAGTGGTGTCAACTGCACCTGATCTGCTTATCCATTCTCCTGCACCATCCAGACTTTGCCCACAGACTTAGAGCACCAGAGCAGCTTCTGGGAAGAGAGTTGGCGTTCCCCATCCCATGGCAGGAGTGAGGAAGACTCTGCACGCGTCAGGCTGGGGAGGGGTGATTCTGCTGAGGGTTTTAAATCACTTCCGCCTTCAACCTTGCATATAAGGAAATGCTGAACTGTTCTCCAAAAAAACCTGTTTCATCTCAGTGAGCTGAAATAATACTAAATTACTTAATTTCTTTCTTTCTGCTGCAAGTGCCTCTATCTGTGGGAAACTGAGACTTAACATGTACCAATGAAGAGTTTAGAAACCATGAAAGTGTGAATCATCATTTCATTGGAATAGACCCACCCCATAAATTTCAGGGATAGCTTTTCAGATACTTCCATACACCTTCATACTTATAGTGCCTAAAATTACTTGGCAGAAAACATGTAGAGGAAAATGCACAGGGTTTTATTGGTGTTTACAAGTTGACTGTCTATATAACAGAAACACAAAAGGGACTTCTTCTTCCTTTGCTAGCGCTAGCTGTGTCCTCCACAGCACATCACCCTCCCCGTATCAATACAACTCAGCTTCCCTAATAACTTTTTAAAAAATCTTGGCTAAGGTACTTGCCTCCGAGAGCTTCCAGTCTAAACAGACTGCGTACAGACAAAAGAAAGGGATGGGCTGCAAGAAAGGCCAGTAGTTGCTCACTGCTGCGTCTATGCTGGTGTGTTTATGTCCCCGTGTCCTATTGTCTGGGTGACACTAATATGGGTGGACCAGTGCTTAAATTATGGGTGCACTCTGGGGACATTTGTAGTTAGCTTATGCAGTGG